CCCCCCCCCCTCACACCTTCTCTTTTTCCTTAACCGCCGCCGGTGCTGCCGCCGCGACCTCGGCCTTCGCTGCCTTGTAGGGATTCAGCAGCCCCAATATCTGCTTGTTCAGCTCATCCAGCTCCTGCTTCTGCAGCTCCTTCGCCAGCGCCGTCCGCTGCTCGTTCAGCACCTCAAACAGCCGCACGTATGACTCCGCAAACAGCAGCCGCGCGGGCCGCGCGGCGGCGCCGCCGCCGCGCTCGGCCGCCGAGGCGCCAGCGCTGTCGAGCAGCTGCCTCTCGGCGCGGACGGGGTAAAACGCGGCCTCGTCGTCCCAGCCCGCGGGGAGTGCCTCGAGAAGGAAGATCGCAAGCTCAAGCCGCATCTCATGCCGGCCGCTTTCGTCGCCCAGCCGGGCCGACCCGAACGCGCGCGAGTCCAGCGCGTCGACGAGCAGCTTGGCGAGCAGGCAGGCCGCCGTCATGGAGCGCGGCGGCGGCGGCGCGGCGGCGGGGGCGGGGTCGGCGGTGGCGGCGCCGAGGGCGGCCTCTCGCAGCTCTTTGTAGGCCGCCCTCACAACCTCGCGGACGCGCTCTGCCACGTCGTCCGGCGGCGGCGGGTAGGTAGGTAACTTGGCGAACTGGCTGAGCACGTCCGTCGCGACGTGGCCGAGGACCAGGCGCTGAATCAGCGCCGCGCCGGGGCCCTTCGCGGCGAGCACGCTGCTGTGCTGCTCCGCCGCCCATGCCGCCGACGCTTTGAGGGCAGCAAGATCCCTGTCCTTATCGGTGCCCACAATCCGCATGCTCTTTTTCTTCTTGGTTGCATAGCTTTTGAGCCGCTCCTGGCCTTCGAGCAATGCCCCCGAGAGGTCTGGGGTCGTGCTTGTGACATCCTTGCCCCGGCCCTTGGATTTGGGCGCCATTAAGTGATCTATAAACTGCAGCCACGCTTCATCGCATGCCTAGGCCGTCCACGAGGCTCGCGCTGCGCGCGCGCGATCTGGTAACTGGGCACCTCACTGCGCAGTTGGATCGCTACTGTACAAAGACAACATGTTGGTGCCTGCCGGCTGTTAACAAACGGTGTCTCCTTGTCCGCAGCCGACAGCTGCGTCTTCGGTACTTGCTTTTGATGCAATCAGCAGATCTGGCGTACCGTCAACGGCGATAACACGTGACTTCATGTATTATACGTAAGACGTGTGGTATCTAAGACACCTACAGCATCTATGCAGGCTTGTAGAAAGACACCGCTATGCTCTTGACGTCAGCATCGTCGCGTTCGCTGCTCGTGCTGCTGCTGGTGCTGCTGCCGTCGCTGCCGCGCGTGGCAGTGCAGGCAGTGGCGCATATAAGTGCCGGCGACGATGTGGCAGCAAGCGATGGCAGCCCGGCAAGGCAGCAACGTCAGCAGGAGCCCGGGGAATGGAGAGCGGCAGCATCAGCGAACCCCCTGCCGCCGCCGCCCCCGCCCCCGGTCCCCCACGCCGGGATCCCTCAGCGCGCCCTGACGGGCCAGCCGCGGTCCGAACGGCCGGCGCCGCCCCACCCGCCGCGGCGACGCGCCCGCCGCAAGCTCGCCTTTGGGGCGTTTGTGCAGCAGGCGCGCGACGAGATCCCCGACAGCGAGGAGGCGCCTGGCTGCGCCGCACGCGCCGGCGTCGGCTACCTCGAGCGCTGGCGCCGCCTTGGCGGCACCTTTTGCGCCCTGCCTGGCCGCGGGCCCGCCACAGCGGCGCCGCCGCCGGAAGCCGGCGGCAGCGCCCGCGCCCTGCCGCCGCCGCCGCCGGAGTTTGGGAGCGTGGCGCGCTGCAACGCGCACCCCGCCGCCGACCTGACGGCTTGCTTTGCCACCAACATGGTCTTCGACGCGACCGCGTTCATGGGGCCGAAAAAGCAGCCGGACGAGCTGCCCGCAGCCGCGAAGGGCAGCGTGCGGCTGGGCTGCAACCGGACGCAGCCGCTGGCCGCGTTTTTGCGCGGCCGGCTGCGCAACGAGGGCCCGCGGCGCTGGCTCGTCGACGCCGCGGAGCTCGTGCCCCCCGCTGACGTCGCCGGGCTGTGCGCGGCGGGCGGCGGGGCTGTGGAGCATGCGGTCGTGTTCCTTATGCGGCTGGACGGCTCCAACGCATTCCACAATGCGGGTAGGTAAAAAGCGATGCGTGAGGGGCGGAGGAGGGGCCAGCGCGCTGCGGTTCGCGGCTAGAGGCGGCCTGCAGCTCACATCAAATCGCACCCGTCTGCTGCCCCATGCCTCTGCCGGCCGGCGCCTTGCGCTCAGTGCCGCCTGTGGCCGTGCAGCGGACGCTCAGCGCCTGCGACCGGCGCGGCGCGTCGCGGCGCCACGGCGCCCCGCAGAGACCCTGGTGCACATGTTCATCGGCCTGGCGGCCCTTCAGATCCCGCCAGAGGCGCTCAGCGGCGGGCTGCAGGTGCGAGCGGCGCCGCTGACCCCGCCCCTGCGGCGCGCGCCTGGCGCCGCCTGGCTCCGCCTGGCTGTATCAGCAGCCAGGTGGCTCTCGCAGCTCATGCAATGCTGCTTTTCGCCCACAACTGTCTTGTCACAGACGCTTGCCGTTGGAGGACCGGCGCTGACAAGAGAGGGAAGGCAGGGGCCGCGTATCCTCAATCACAGGCGCACCGGTCGAAAACAGCCACGCGTCTGCTCCTCCGCGCGACCCCCAACCCCCGCCAGGTCATCATCGCCGACGACAAGCCTCCGGGCTACTTTCTGGACATCCTCCGCCGCCTGTCGCACCCCCACCCCCTCATCGCCCTCCGCGACGCCCCCCCGCCGCCCGGCACCTGCCTGCGTGCCGCAGCCGTTGCACCGTTTGTGGGCCACGGGAACTCGCTGCTCGCGGCGTCGGCTGAGGAGGTCGGCTGCCGCTCGGTCATGCTGCACGCCGCATCTCTGTGGCTGCGGGAGCTGTTCTGGGATGTTCTACCAAGGGAGCCGCCCGTCGACGCGGAGCAGCAAGAGCAGCAGGCACAGCAGCAGGGGCAGCAGGCACGGCAGCAGGAGCAGCAGCTGAGCGGCGCGCGGACGCTGCAGTTCGTGTGGTTGTCGCGCGCCCACTTCGAGGCGTCAATGCGCGGGAAGCTGAGCGGGTGGCAGCGGCAGCGGGCGGCGCCCAATGAGGCGGAGGTGCTAGTGGCCCTGCAGGCGGCAGTCGCGAGGCGAGTGCGCCGCCAATCGCGCCGCCCTAGGCGCCCGAAGCAGCTCCGGAGCGGGCATTGCAAAGCCGCGCGGCCTGCTGCATCCTGGGCGGCTTCCCTGCGTGGCTCTGCAGGGGCAGTGTCGCAGTGATACGCCGCCCCGCACCTTCGTGGCAGGAGCGCCTGGCGTGGCACCGCGTGAGGCGCGGCGCGTGCCTCACCTTTGCAGATGGAACGGGGGCGCGTGCGCCCTGGACCCCAAGGATGGGTGCCGCAAGTCCAACATCTATTTCGCGTTCCAGGTGCAGCTGCCACGCATCAATGAGGCTGTGCGATGCTCGCCGTGCAAAGCGTGGTCATGTCTTGATCATGCATGCGTCGCAAAGTACAAGGAGTGTGTTCACATGTTCGCATGCACGCACACATGCACATGCACATCCACATGCACATGCATATGCACATTCACATGCACACGCACACGCACACGCATATGCACATGCACATGCACATGCACACACACATACACACAAATACTCACACCCACACGCAAATTCACATGTACACGTTTACGCACACACATGCCCACACAAATACGTGCAGATGCACAACATGCACACGCACTGGCGCACACACGCATGCATGCAGACAACCACGTTGTTCAGCAGGCGCGCCGCCGCCCGCCCCACCACCCACGCGCGTCCCAGTCGGGAGGTTCTATGATGACCCCTCCTGCCATACGCACACATAACCCGATAAATTGCCTCACAACCCCCCCTCCAACCTCCCTTCAACTGCCCTCCGACTGCCCCTGCAGCTGGCCCTGCAATCCCCCCTTCAATCACCCCTCCAACCGCCCCTCCAAACGCCCCTCCAACCGCCATGCAGCCGCCCTCCAAGCACCTCACCAACCGCCCCTCCCCCTGCCTCACCTCAGGCCCTGGAGCTCAGCCAGCAGCCCTTCAGCCCGGACCAGGTGTTCACCCTGTCGCGCACTGGCGTGCTGGCCGGCGTGCACGGCGCGGGGCTGGCCAACATGCTGATGATGGAGCCGGGGCGCGGCGCGGTGCTGGAGGTGTGGCACGGCATGGAGGACAACTTCCACTATGGTGGGGTGAGAGGGGGGGTTTGGGACGGCGTCTAGGCGCGCACCATTTAAGGCCACACGGTCGGGTTGCTTGTCCCGTGCGGGACGCTTTCAGACGTGCTGGGCAGCGCTGTACGGAGCGTTGGAGGTCGCCTGGACCAGCCCCGGCGGTCCTGGGGTTGTTGCAGGTCAGGAGGGGCCTTGTTCGGCGCTTTCCGGCCGCCATGCTTGACGGTGGGCCCCGCCGCGTGTGCATGTGGGCGGGGCTGCCGTGCAGCCAACCTGGCGGCGGCGCTGGGCCACGCCTACACGACTGTCAAGAGCGAGGGGAAGCTGCCGGCAGACGAGATCGCGGCCGCCGCGGAGCGCGCGATGGACGCGGCAGCTGCCCGGCAGGCGCAACCGCGCCGCGGTCGGCGGGGGAGCGGGCTGCTGCGGCGGTGGTGGGGCGGCTGAGAGGCAGCTGGCGGCAAGGGGTGGCGAGCAGGTGCGCGCCGCGTCGTGTAAATGCACAACCTGAAGCTTCGCCTAGGGGACATTTGAGAATGTGATGCAGTGACACCAGAAATTCACCCCACACCAGCTGACCAATAGCGACTGAGGAGGGGTGTGCAGCGGCTGCCGAACATGCAAGGAAGAGTGGATAATGTTGACTGTGCGCTTGCTTGCTCACCAGTCCTCGGCACGGCAGGTGCTTGGCTGCATTACTACCTTATGGGTGCATCCTGCAGAGGATACTCACCATTCTGTGAGCGGACAAGTTGATGGAGTTGTGTGCAAGTGTCAAGCTGATGCGTAAGGAACACGACTTGGAAGGCAGAGGGTGCAAGGGCAAGGCTTGCAGGAACGGCATGGGTCCTAGCGGCGCACACAGGGAGCTCAGTATCAATGGCCTGCTAACTGAGTTCGACGATGGCTAGTTGAATTGGTATAGCTTGCGAAATGTTTGGCAGGCTGCCTGATGGCGGGCCTCCAGGGAGCCCGCAATGGGTGAGCGCCCCGTACAGCACGGCCCTGTGCACATGTCATGCTCGCATGTGCATGCCTAACAAGTTGCGGACCCCGCAGGGCCAGCTACTGGAGCACAGTGTGGCGAAGCTCATAGAGGACGTGCCACAGAGGGCCACTTCGGCCCCTCCACATCTGCAAGCTGGCGATGGAAGACAGTATGCGGTAAGCCCGATGCCGTGCAGGCTATCTGGGGGCAAGAGATCACTGGTGTGCGATTTGGCTTGCCCGCGTCGCACCAATTCTCTCGTCATCGCTGGAAGGAGCCCGAAATCTTTTTGAAAGATTTGATGCGCGCGCTGGCCCGCGGCGTGCCATTCCCGGGCTGCGGTCGAAGCACTGTGCTTTGCCGGCGCAGCGCGCGGCCGCCGCTGCAGCGGCGGACAGCCGCCGCCTGTGGGCTTCCCCGCCACCGCTATGGCCCATAGGCTTGTGACCGATGCGCGGGCATCACATTGCACAGTCGCCTGCTTGGCCTCCGCACGACCACCACGGCAGCCGCCAATACATTGCCTCCCAACCCCTTCCCCCCGGCCGACTACTCCTCCTGACGGCCCCCACACCCCTGCACGCCGCCCCGCACTCCGTTTCGCTCCGCAGGGCCACGGCGGCCCGTCGTCGGGGCAGACTTGGACCCCCATAGACCCGACCGCTGACATCCGGTACGACGAGGACTATGCGCGCTTTTACGATCTGTACTCGGGGCAGCGGAAGCTGCCGCCCCCGGTGGACGGCCGCACGCTCTACACCGAGCTCGGCCTGCTGCACCAGCAGCAGCAGCAGCGGCAGCAGCAGGCAGACCTGCAGGTGGCGGTCGCGCAGCAGGCGGCGATGATGGGGTCGGCGGCCACGCCGCCGCCCGGGCACGCGGCGGCGGCGCTGGCGAGCCTGATGGCGGGCGGAGGGGCGCTGACTCCCGGAGGTGAGCGCGACGAGGGCCGGGGCGGGCGCCGCCGCCTCACAGGGAGGCAGCGGAGGGCCCAGTTGCGTGCGACAGGGTCGGTGAGGCGAGCATGGGCTGCGGTGCGGACGGTGCGGTGCAGCCCAGCCGCATGGCGCGCTGGGGTTTGGTTTCTCGAGTGCGCACGGGCGCCGCTGCTGAAGCGGCGGGGTTCACGCCCTGAGCTGACAGCGCATCCGGCCGGGCCTGTCGCCGCGCCCTGCAGGGCTGGAGGTGATACAGGAGGCGGACGGGCTGCCGGGCATGCTGCAGGCGGCACTCCAGCAGATGTGTGAGTGGCGGGTGCACAAGGCCGCGCAGCACGCCTGAATCTGGGGGCTGGCGGGCCGGCCGCCGTGTGTGGCTTGCGTGCCGTGCCCCCTGGGGCCACTCCTGCAGTACCGTGCAAACCCCGCCCATCTCGCCGCCCCACGGAATGCTTGTGCAGCGATCAACGGCAGCTCGCCCGCGCAGCGGCTTGGCGGGATGGGGGACCCCAGCGGCTCGAAACCGGGCACGCCGTTTGAGGGTGAGCCGCCGTGGGCTGCAGGGCGCGTGCGCCTGCGTGCTTGGGTGCCCGACGGCATGTCACCCCTGGCTGGGTGTGCGGTTACGGAGTGACGTCACACGGCATCACACGGGCTATTGCCTGGTTGTCGCCGCCATACTCTCTTGATTGCCGTCGCCGTGCGTTTGTCTCCGGTCGCACCCCCGTGCTTCCTCGCGCACGCGCGGCTGCACGTGACGCCGCGTCCTCCGCGCCTCGCAACCCCTCTGCAGTGGCGGCCGCGCTGCAGGCGCTGCAGGCGGCGAGCCCCGCGCCCGGCGGCATGCGCCCGGCGATGCTGAATGCGGCGGCCGCGGCGGCGGCCGCCGCGGCCGCCGCCGGCGCGACGCCGCCGCCGGGCATGCACGCGCACCACGCGCTCGGCATGCCCGGCGCGAGCCCGCCGCCGACGGCCGCGGCGATGGCAGCGCTGCAGTCGAACGTGAACGCGGCGGCGGCGGCGGCCGCCGCCGCGGCGGGCGGGCCGCTGTCCATGGCGGGGTCTCTAGAGTACCAGGCCGCCTATCAGGCCGCCTACCAGGCGGCGATGATGTCACAGCAGCAGGGCGTGATGGCGGCCGCGGCCGCGCCGCGCATGAACCCGCAGTTTGCGGCGCTGCAGGCGGCCCAGGCAGCGCAGGCGGCGCAGGCAGCGCAGGCGGCGGCGCTCGCGGGGTACCACCACCACCACGGGGGCCACCAGGGGTTCGCGGGGCAGCAGGCGGCCGCGATGCAGCTGGCGGCGGCGCAGGCGGCGGCGGCGGCGCAGCTGGGGCTGCCCGGTGCGTACGGCTACCCGCCGCCCAACATGTCGGCCGCGGCTGCGGCCGCAGCGGCGGCTGCCGCCGCGGCGTCGATGGGC